CGACAATGATTTTCGATATACATACCTACCGTTCGAAACACGATCTCGCGTCCCGTAACGATGCAATTTCGATCGGACTTTCGCCGGGCGACGTGGCCACCTGCTCGCGCTGAAATTTCGTAAACGCATTCGTAACGATGAAAAGTTTATTCCTGTGACAAACGATTTCGCAATGAAATTTGCATTCGTGCCAACCGATGCATGGCTAATGGAAAACATGCGCGCGAAATTGCAACCCGCGATCCAGTTATTCCCCTCCCTCCCTGTTGTCACAGATTACTCACGCTCGTTTTGTTTCTACCGATTAATGAATATTTAAACATCGATCCCGCGGATGTTTCTTATTTTTAAATTATTGCCCCGATGAAACTGTTCGATTACGATTTAAATATCGAAATCGCGACAGGATACGTCCGACAGCTGAACAACAGGCTCGTTTCCTGATTCACGAAGCGTTCGAGAGAGCTGTGAGGGAAATAGGGTGATAAGGGTGACGAAATGACGGTAGACATTTCTGTGAAATTGAATAGTAAATCGTTTATTAGTACGAAGGTGTGATAGTGTCTCGAGTTAGCCTTGGCCGACATTCGTGATTAGAGTGAACCTGTGATACCATAAGGTGAACGAGTGTGATAGACTTGGTAGTTTTTTTTTTCCGTTTCTTAAGTGATGTAAGAGATAGATGTTAGAGCTAGTTACCCTGTTCTGCGAGCTGGTGTTCTCCCCATCGATCGGGCCGATTTCACGTGCTCCTTTTTTACGATCACGTTAACGATTCACCGACTTTTATCTTCTCTCTCCCCCCCCCCTTTCTCCTCTCTTAGACGATCGATCTTCACCCTTCTTTTTTCTATTCACCCTTCGATTCACCCAGCCCCCTTCTCACCCCCCGTCCCACCCCGATTATCCACGATTAGATTGCAACGCGGCACGATGGAAAAGGAGAACGCCCGTGCAAGCTAACTTTCAAGAGTGCTACTTGTTATTCTTCCGAGGTACTCTAGTGCCTATGTTTATTTTCTGTCCTCTGGTTTTTATTTTCTGCCTATATCGCTAAATCGCAGCTAAAATTAGCAGAGACTGAAGGGGAGGAACGCGACACCCCTGTTCTCCCGATCGAACCCAACAATAAATAAGAATTTTCGCGACTCGTATACGCGTTCCAAAGCGGGGGTGGAGAAAGAAATCCTCCCATTCCCCGTTCGTTCGTTCCGTCTCTCTCTCTCTCCTTCTTAACGTTAACGTGTTCCATTACCTTCGTTTCCACACGTTCTCGGAGCTAACGGAAATAAAAAAGTTGACAGAAACGAACGAAAAAACGACGAAAGGATATCGAAATTCTTCCGTTCCTTCCTCGGTCGCGACACAATAATAATAATAATAATAATAATAATACTTAATACGTTACACGCGTATCGCATTAGCGTCGATATATAACAATTCTTCGATCGCGACAAAGAGTACGGTGGTAGGCGAATATAAATTTTAGACCGCCGGTAGGATACAACGACGTCCCCATTTCTCGTTAAATAAGAACAATAATAATAAATTAGGTTCCACTCGTACCTACTGTACACGCGTATGTATAATCTCGTGTATACATATTCATATATGCCGCATATAATATATATATATATATAAAAAACGATCATGAAAAACGGTGTTTGACTAACATGGACGTAAAATCGTACAAAAAGCGTTTTGTCCTTCTTCGAATTCCGTCGTGCGTTTTTCCATGATTACTCCGTGTTACGAGCGAGCGTTTCCGCGTGCTCTCATTCTCTCACACTCTGTCTCTCTCTCTCGTTTCTGCTCTCGCACTCTTTGATTGTACGCGTCTTTGATCATAACGTGACTGGTCGTGCGCTTTCGTTCCCCGCGATATAAGTACGTGTAACACCACCTACGGTTCACCTTTAGTTTTCGCCCGCGAATTCGCTCCCTCTCGAGCACCCTTACCCCCTCCTGTGAATCGATAACGCGTCGCATTTCGCGGAAAACATGGACGTTCCGGATGCCCCGGAACTAGGAATTATCTGATACGTAGTTTTGCGACTCGTTGAACTTTGTTCGAAACTATCGATTGAAATTTTGAATCGTTCGGGGGGTAGTTTGATTTTTCCCACGAATTATTTTCACCGAGATTAAGATTTGAAAGACGATCCCAAATTTTGTCGAGTACACGGTTACAAGAGGGAAGTATCGTTTAATGTAGAGGGGGTGGTGATCGAGAGGGCAAGGTTCAGCGAGCACGTGTCTGGTAGTGTGTTCCGCTACTACACACACCTCATTCCCCGGGTCGTACATATAAAATTATATTTACAACAGAGTGATCTTTTTTTTTTTCTTCTTTGTCGTGAGGTATTCGCTCTACATGCATCTAAAGAGTGTACAGTACCAAGAAGCTGAAGGGAGCAGGTGCCATGGGGTAGGGGGGGGGGGCGAAATCCAGAACAATCCAGACAGCCCGTTTAAATAATGCAATCATCATTCTCTCTCTTTCTCTCTGGCCAGTTTCTCAAACGTTCTTCCCTCTTTCTCTCGCGCTCCCTTGTACACGGGTAGTCGCTGCAGATCGCGTAGCCCATTATAAATAATTTAAAAATTATATACTTTGTCTTTATTATATATTAAATTCAATTTCTGTTCCCTCACACGTCCCACACGTCACAACGTCCATTCACACACGAGAAAGTTTGATAACGATATGATACAGCTATACTACACCGGAAGAATCCGAATTCTCTCATTGTCTCCCTTTCTCTCCCATTCACTCTCTCTTTCTCTCACATACACTCTGGACCTCTCCCTTCGCTTCCTGCTTCGTATTTACACGGGGTCGCTCGCGAATAGTTCTCCATTTTCTTACACTTACAGTTATATGTATAAGTAATGGTTTGCTTCTGTATATTGTATGTATATGTATCAGCGCGTGCCTGTACAGCCCCGTAGTTGCAGCAAAATGAATTGACTGTTCAAGGCTACACCTGTCCGCCCCCCTACGTTCCTCGATCAGCCGCTTCGTCTCCATTGATCAGAGAGGTAAGCTGCCTTTGCGTAAAACTACGAGTGTACACAACGAGCGGCTTGATTCACGACGTGTGGGGGGGGGGGCAACCTTGATCGACCAACTGATTCTATTCCAACTATAGTAAGAACACACTGTTTTCTTGATTATCCTCCACTCCTTGGTCTATCTGGGCAGCATGAATCGAGACGTCTCGCGAGTGGAAAACCGTGCGACTACCAAATGATTGGAAAGAAATGATCTTATCGCGACCTATAACACGCGTCGGTCGTGAGGCACGGTGATTCTTCGCGAAATCGTCGAAAGTGCAATGACGCAAGTCCTACCGGAAGTATTGTTCGCGTCATCCAGCACGCGTCTTCGTCCATCTGCGAACGCGGATCTCGGAAAGGCGATCTCGTCGAAGAAATCGTTTCGTGTATTCAAAGAGAAACGACGGGGCACGCGTTGCTTGATTCCTTCGTGATACGCGGGCGAATCGTTGTTCCGCAGCTTCCAGGTAACCATCCGCCGGGAAGAAGCTTTCAGAATGTAGGACTGGAGCGCGGGAAAAAGGCTCGCAGAAGGAACACTATGCATTCTGTTTGCAAAAGCGGCAAGACTTTCGCGTAACCCCACCTCCACCAACCCTCTCCTTCTTTCACCTTGATGGTTTTTCTTATTCAAACGCGCCCCCACCCCCGACCTCGTATTGCAAAAAATAGGAGCACCGCCTTTGAGCGCTCGCGTTCGAGAGCTTGTTGCCTTGCTTGTTATGCTATCCGTGCCAACGATACTTACCGTTTGTAATTGACGAAGGAAAAATTGCTGCTTGATACGCGTGGTGCTTATTACATATACTCGGGTGAAACTACCCTGTGTACTCGCGCGCGTGAGTGTTCATGTCTTTGAATATGTGTTTCTATGTGTGTGTGTTTCGCTACGATTTTACGGTGAGTCGCTAGGTGCATAAGAACGTATTCAGGTGCTAGTTTACAATCCGATCGATGACTAATGGGGGAACGTGCGCGCGGGACGAATTGTTTTTATCGCGTGACTCTAGTCGAAGATCATATATACGAAACTGGTTGGCAGATTAACTCTCTCAGTCGTGAGGCAGTCTTTTGCGGATTATTATTTTAGGATTATTTTGGCAGTGGATCGGTTAACCCCTCTCCCCGGACTATTCGTCATCCTCTGTTCGTTCGTCACCACGAAAATTTTTTGTGGTGAACGCGTGGCAGCATCTCGAAAGGTAGTCGCACGTCTCGCACGAGACTCGGTTCTTGAAATCTTTCACCGCGTGTAGCGTGTATCTACTCGTATAAATTACAAACTAGAAGGCTAAAAAAGTCGAAGTACTTGTTTAGCGTCCTTTGGTACCAGCCTGAGTCTCATTGGATTACAAATAATTTGTTAAATACTCTCGCTAAATCACTAAGAGATCACTGTATTTCCTTTTCCTTTGAGTGTCCTTTCCCCCTATCCCCCCGGTTGTATAGCCTGACCATCACGTTTACAGTCTTTTCTATTGCTCTGTACTGTAGGTACTCGCCCTCTCCGAAACGTCCGTCGGAGTACAAGTGGGTTCTTCGTATATTCGCGACGTAACTACAAATCGCCGAGTACGTCGCCGATGTGTACTAAAATACTATATGTATATATAATATATATATATATATACCTATATCACGCGCAACAATTAAAAAGACGCAAAGCACCTCTCGCGTACGAAAATAAAATTCTCTCGTCCGGCGTAAAAGCGAAGAAAACGAAAAACAATAAAAAAAAAGAAAGAAAGAAAGAAAGAAAAACGGAAACGCATCTCTCAAAATAAATACGCGAAAGGAAACGTGGGATCACTACTTTTTAGAAAAGTATTACAAGCTTCTCTCGATCGGACGATCGAATTACCGTCCACGCGCAGCATCATCTCTCGATCTTCCGATCCATCAGGAACACCGTGTACACCGTGTTCGTCCACGATCGAGCATTAGGACACGATGTAGTCCATGGAATGATGGGAATGATGGGAGTTCCGATGCTTGTCCTTCCGATGATTAGTCCGCGAGTTGCTGCTTCGTGTACCGGTGGTACCGGTGGTCCCGGAAGTGTGATGGCTGTACCCGCTATCGCTGCCAAAACTGCTGTCCGGTTGACCTTGGTACAGCCTGCCGGTGGTGGATATCTGGTCCCCGTCCCGGGGCCCGTAGTACACCGGTTGCGTGTACTTGTCCTCGTTGTAGAGACGATCGGTGGGTTGGGAATAGGTGTCCGAGTATTCACCGCCTACCTGCGTGTAAACCGGGGCGGTGTCCTGGTTTTGGAGTCCGTAATACTCGGGCCCGTATTGCGAGTTGTACGATTTGTATTTGTCGTTTAATTTACGGGACCTGTCCTTGTTGCTTCTGCTTTGGCTCGAGTAGTGGTGCAACGGGCCGAGGACAGGCACGCTCTCGTAGGGGTTCTCCTCGACCCTGAGGGCTTGGGTGGCTGGCATCGGGGGCACGAAGTAGGGTAACCTGTGGGCCACCGACGGGACGGACTGCTGTCGTTGAGTGCTATTCGTTCTGGTGCCAGCTACGCCTGAAATATCAAGTGCTTGGATTAGTAAATGTTCCTTTGGGACCTTTGGATGATGTTGGAAAAGAGGATCTTGATGAATGTGTTACGCACCAGCTACGCTAGGATAGAGCTGAAGCAAAGCGTCCAGCAACATCCCTTCGTGGAACTCTCCCATATCGTGGTTCTTGTCTCTTCTACGTCTGTCCAGGCTCCTGGGGCTTCTGCCTCGTCTCTCTCGCGGTGGCCTGCCACCGGCTGGACACGTGCCCCAAGCAGGACCACTCGAGGTGAGCATCCTCGCCTCGGACGGCTCGCCGATCGAGAGCTCGTCCTCGGCGAACTCGTCCTCGCTCGCTGGCTTCGACGTCGACTGCCGATGATGGTGCCGATGATGATTGTGCAGCCGGTTACGAGCGTTCAGCTCGCTCTCCTCGTCCGTTTCCTGATGGTCCCCTGGAACCGATGAATAATTTATAAGCAACTGTGTTGCAAGTTCCACGAGCCGGGTCGACGCGATAATTAATTGGTGGCATCGTCGATTAATTGAGTGGTAATCTCTTCCCGGTGTCAAGGTTACGATATTCATGTAGACGAAATCGAATCGATGACAGGGCTTACGATTTTTGGCGAGAAATTGTTATTATGATTTTGTTTGTTCGATCGTTTGACAGACAAATGAGTGGAACATAGATATAGGTTGGTAACTGTCCACGGAAAACAAAGCATGTTATTGTCATTAGTCGTCGAAATGCAGGCAGGAAATTTGTGTTCACGTGTTCTTTATCAAAATCGCGATTCTTGTCCCTTTTTCATTTTCGGTTTCATTAACGTCACTTCCCTCACCCCTGCTCTGGTGCGGTCGCAGTTTTTGCTTTCGATTCTGGTAATTGACTCGCGTTTCTCTAGCGAGCCATCCATCGAAATCCAGGTAATCGTTAACCGGCTGTATTGCCGTGTGCTTCAATTCGTCGCCATCGTTCGTTTACGGGATCGTTAAAAAAACTGAATATTTTCATACTTCAAATTGAACCTTCGAAACCCATCGAAACAACTATTCTTCAGCTGAACCAATTATTCTACTGTTCTCCGACGTTCGATCGCGGACATACGAGAAACAAAACGCTCGTGCAATTCCTCTGTCGTTCGAACGCGAAAAATAAAGACGTATCGTCGCCGGCACCGGAGAGAATCGTTAAAGCAAGAACCAAGGTCGGACGACGATAAAACGAAGGAAGAGGCGTTTGAACTGCGAAACAGCCTCGAACGGAAGTTTATCGACTGGCTCTAATCGACGTTATGTTCGCTCTTTGACAGTCCCTCGAATCTCCGGAGGTGTTTTTCTATCTTCGCGGGATTTTCCAACTCACGAAACAAAAGGAACTAAGCCTGTCTGTTTACCATAGTTGCACTTTTAATCGCCGTCATTCTGCACCCTTTCCTGCTTATCATCGCTTACGGGACGCCAGGATTTTCCCGTGTGCGTTCAATTCTATGCGAATCCAGCGGAAATTCATTACCACGCGAGATAATTGAAAAACCGCGGAATGTACGCTCTCTTCCCACGACACTCGACAGCCGTATCGTGTTTTTCGGCAGTGCGAGTTTTACGCGCTCGCGAGCTTCGTTTCCCAAACGCGTCGATGACGAATGTGGAACGCGCTGTGGACACGTATGTGTGTGTGTTTCGAGTAAAAACTTCTTTCCTCGAAAAGGGGATTCACCGGGGAACAGGACCACCCCTTGCGTGGTGACGTTAACCAAGACAAATTATCGTCTCTCAGCAGAGGAGTATACCGACGATCCCCTCCTTTTACCGACTATACCGCGGCGGTACGTGTACAATGGGCGTCGCGCGGCATGTATATTCGATTAACGGGCGTCCTCGTCAAACGTCGAAAGTCTCATCACCATGCTAATTAGCCATCCGGCTAATGGGAAGTATAAGTCAGAGGTCGTGTCACGCTTATCTCCTTCCACCAAAGGGCCACAACGGGAGGAGGAGTAGCGGTATACGCCTGGCAGTAAGAGGGAGAGGGGTAAAGGGAAGCTATCAAGATACCTCGACCATGGGGAAAGGAACAAGATACACGAGCGAAGAAGATGAACAGCTTCCGATTCCGTTCTGAGAGAGATTAGACACTGCCGCGCCGCGGCGAACTTCATTGCCGACAGTTCGTCGAATTAATAGGGAGATAAGCCTGAGGAAAAAGAAGAATTGTGGCGCGATAACGATACCCCTGTTGGACGTCGTTCTTTTGAAAAATCATGGACGAAATGGGGCCAGTGGATTCGAGAGGAGTTCACGTGAATATGGGGGCAACACGTATCTGGTCACGGTCGTTGAACCGTGGACTCGAGGTACAGCACGATCGTGGAAGTTTGATGGCTCGGTGTCGTTTCCATGCAAAATCCTCCGGTCGTTCGAGGAAGAAGGTCCAAGAGTTAGATAACACTATCAGAAACAACCCGAGTGTAGTGCACAACATTTCAAAGTAGTCGAGCGGGGAGGGTTGAGGGTAGGATCGAAGAACAACAAACTCGCAAGCCAGTGTTAGCCGTAGTTAACAGCAAAGTCTATCCCAGGCTCAGTTTAACCACACGTTAATCGCGAGTTAAGCCAGCTGACTGGCAGCAGTCCGCAGAAGCTGTTTTCTCGGATCCTACCTACTGTTCTCTCTCAGCTGGATCGAGCCTGAGGGTACCGCTCGATAGCCCTCAATGTCATCAGAGGCGAGTTTCATCTAGAAGGAGAGCGTCGCGATTTTCAGCGCGATACGAAACGTTAAACATGCTCGATGCTCCGTGGAAACTTTCATGGAAATAATCGATGGAACGTGAATATTCGATCGTTCGCGTGGTTCGTCGAGTTTAATCGATTGGATTATTACTCACCGTTGCTGAGCTCCTCGTAGACAGGATTGTAGAGGTCCTGCGAGGTGTACGGATCAGGACCGGGACTACTGCACACGAACACACCTCTGTTGGTATCCTTGACGTCCAGCATCTGTCGTGACAATGAGAAATCGTTAGCCTATTTTCCAAGGAATCTTGGGTCGATCGGTTCAAGCCGTATCCGCGCGAGATTCACGAAAAGGGGCGATAGTCGAGGACCGTGCTCTCGACCGCGAAAGGAGTCGTTGCATACCGTCGCTAAGCATGGACGTAACAAGGAATAAAGGAAAGCCCCTTTGCGCTATAAAATCTTGGATTAAGCACGAGAAGCGTTCGTGTAAACGTTTCGCTTAAAGCGGAACCAGCCGTTCTACCGTTTCTACCCTTTCTCTCTTCGTAACTTTATTCTTCGGTTCGAAATATATTACGATAGACGGGAGGCAGTTCCCGAGTATTCCTCTAAAGTTTCCGGAATTCTGTCTCGGAATCGTTTCAGGCAATAAATACGAATTAGAAGGATGCCGGTAATCCGAGGGGAGCTGCGAATCGCCGTGGACGAACTCCCAACACGCTTCCGTTACGTTTCCGTTGCGATTAACTCGTTCCCTCCGCCCTTAAAGACCCTCGAGAACCAACGATTCTCTTTCTAGCTCGAGAAGGGGTGGGGGATGAACCTCCGATCGGAGGAACGCTGACTCGTCGAGACCCACGCGGAAAACGAGGGAGAGTCGAAAGTTAATCCTTAAATCGACGGAGATCCCCGTACCCGCCGAGAATAATAAGGAACCATCCCGACGCGTGATTTATCCGAGGCTAATTTTATTTCCCACTCGGTGAGAACACGTTCGGTGATCCTGCCACCCTTCCACGGTGAGAACCGAGCGGAAATGTTCGCACGTCCCGGAAAAATCACCGTGTTTCCGGACGAATATCTAAAAAAAGAAACTTCCACCTTCGTAATTAATTCCCGCAACATCCTGTTCCGGGAACTTGTTAAAAAATTCAACGGGGCGAGCGCAGTGGGGACAATGCAAGATTCCTGGGGTTGATCGATACGATACGGCACGATTTAACGCCCCCCTCCCCCTCGACTCTTCCTTAAATCCCTCGAAATTCCGATTAACCCAGTTTCCCGCGTCTCTTCGCGCGACAGCTGGTTTCCGGTTTTCCCTCTATCTTCGCGCACGAGTACGCCTAATGGGTCTCGTCATATCGCGTTAACGGGAACAAATGGCGGACCGCGGACCACGGATCTCCTTGTCTGCGCGTTCCCTTGTTCCTGAGAGCTGTGAACGGCCGGAAATAATGAGACTCCCCTCCCCTCCTAGAACCCAGTTACACGTTGTCTCGCGTTTGTATAATGATTCGAGAGCTTCGTTTACATTATTTTCATGAGAAAGGTGACCCGTGTTGGGAGGGAGTAGTAGGAACGAAGCCCTAAGTGTTTGAAGAGTACAGCTTTGCAACAACGATAGACGGAAGGGAACAATAGGGAGGAGAGGTTCGAGTACTTTCCAAGTGCTTCCTAATAAAATTTGATGGAGTTGATTTTCTGCTATGGCTCCTCGTCGTTGCTGCGTATCACACAGGATGTCGACGGCGGAACACGTTCAAGGTAGGAAGTTACCCGGTTGTTAACGCGAACTTTTTAACCCTTCGTTACGTCGAAATTAGTCGGAAGGAGCCGTCCGAGCAGTCGGCTGTCAGGTACCGCGAAATCTCGATCGAATATCCCCGGACGTATATAGTCGTCGCTCCCGTGACCTCGAAATCGCTCGAAAATCGAGTTACTGCTCCGTTAATCCAGGGAATCGGAAGGGAAGCCAAAGCCCACCGACGAATTTTCTCTCGAACGGGGCCGAAGTCCCCGCGGGCTGCTCTATCAGCCACAAAGGAGGATGAACATTCGATTACTTTTGCTTCGAATTGACGGGTCTACTTTGGCCCTTTCCGCTTGTCTTCTCGCATCACGTCTAATCACGCGTCTCGCCCTTCGCGTTTCGGCTGCTGGCGAACCTCCCTGTCTAACCTCCCTATTGGATCGAGTCTTCTGACAAGTGTATATACATATAACTGAATTATTGGGCTTCTCGATGGGAATTGGACTCGAGGCTACCGTACGTCAAGCTAAAGCTGATAAACTTCTGTTGTGCGTGAAAAATGTAGTAATAATTCATTTGTATCCCAAGATACTACTCGCCTCTTACGGGAACTCTCAAGACTAGGGAAGAATCGTTATCTTTCAAAATCGCGATTTCGTTTAACTACCCAAAATCGAGATGCAGCCCGATGATGGACGCCGGAGCAAACGCCCGAAGCTCTTTGCTCTGAATACAGACACGGAAGAGGAGGGGAGGGTGATATTATCACTACCGAAGGAGGATCACTCGATTACTGGCGTCTCGTTTAGAACGTCGGGTGTCCCGGACGAAGGTAATTGTCGCCCTTAGCGTAGTGCAGCCCCGGCGACGTACCTCGAGGGTTCTTTCTAATAAGAGCGCGTCGCGAACGAGCGTTTCCTCCTTGAATAATGGCTGTTCGTCGTGAATTTCGAGGTGGCTCCGAGAGCGAAGTTCACGCGTCGACGGTGCGCCGGAAAGAAAATCTCTCAAGGGCGCCACGTCTTCCCAATCCATACTCGAGATTCGCCACGGATGAAATCGAGCGAATCGACGATAGGAAGAGGGATAATCGATCCTTCTAGCTTTCAATTTCCTGACCACTAGGATAGCCTGTCATTATCTCGAAAGTGGGAAACGATTTCGATGTTTCACGAAGTGTCTGACTGGATGGTATATACTTTCGGGGAATGTAATAAATCATCGATGAGTGTTCGAAGGCTCCACGGCACTGATAAGAAAGTCCACAGATTTAATGCTGACTTTATAACGAGGTTTAGCAGAGTGATAGAGCTTGGAATTCGGAAGTCAATGATATTTTTTTTTTGTATGCAATATTTAATGTTCACTGCCGAGAAGCCTTCGAACATTCATCGATGATGTACTGTAACGGCCGTGAATTTACTTTCATCGGGATCACGACGCGTAACAGAGGAAATCGCGAGCGCCGTTTGTTACGTTCAGTTCACCGGGACGTGGAGCGAATAGCTAGACGGGCAGAACGGTCAGATAAAGTCACGGATAAAGAGCAAACTCGGGAAAGCACGAGTCGCGAGAAGGAGAAAGAACCTAGGAGACGGGACGAAGCGAGTGAGAGAACGGGAACGAGAGCGAGATTGAGATAGTGCCTTGAGCCATCGTATCCAACAGCAGGAAGCAATATGTCCGTGGCGTAATAGCGTAGAGCATGGAGGTTAATGGGTTGTCCCTAACGCGCCTAACCTGCCCCAAGTTCGCCCGTGTGTCTGTCCGCAGCGCTCTCCGATCCACCTAGCCAGCTGGACCACGTCACATTGTATCGCGATAAACGCGTATTCGCCTAATCGACTAATTTACCGCGTCTCTTCCAATTACCGGGACAACTACGAAGAATACGTCGTTATCGGGCGAACCTGCTAATTCTCAAATGAACCATCCATTCCGTGACGGCTCTTGGCCGCGATAAGCGTAACCGACGTGGATTACTCAGCGATACCCTCGGGCCATTAATTTTGACACGTACGTTTGAGCAATCTGGGCGGCGATCGTGGTACTTCGAGAGACGAATATCGTGCTACTGTATGACTTATTTATCGGACTGTTTTTTTTTCTTCATGATGTGTAGGGGATTTAAAATGTGGGGGAAGATTTATGAAGATCAAGTGTAATTTTTAGGATTTCCTATGGCTCACAAGCGTGCTCGTTGAAATGAAGATCGACTTCACGGTGATGTCTGTCTACATCGTGCACGCTAGTTGGCGATTCCGTGGCCGAGGCACGTTACCGTAACCTGCTAATTGTTAGTTACGGCGCCTATTGCATTAGGTGCCCTAAGTCCGATCCCTCTGGTCCCTCCCCACGCCCCGGTTAGTCATCCCGTTATATCGACATTGGAGCGGAGCTACCGCGGTTCCGTAGCCTAACGACGTGCCAGGATATGGATTAGAGGTCCGTAATTGAGCCAACAACAGGTGGGACAGCGAATCGATGGCTGTCCGCCTCAAGATTGGATGTTTATTGGCTTATCCAGCGACCGTGGAACTAAAGGAAATCGTTTACCGTCCAATGAACAGAACACCATCGAGGCGTTCGAGAAACGTGTTTGTCGACCAGCTCGACGGTTCTCTTGTACAATGAAAAAGGATCCTCCTGGACTTTCGTTTTCCGTGGCATCGTCGTGCCTGCGGTTTACGGCTCGTACCATGGCCCCGTTGCTTAACGACGTGTCACGGCATCGATCAAGTCTCGTAATCGCGGCAACAACAGGTGGATGTTAAATTGCTATACTTCCGGTGGCATAGATTGCCAATTTATTCGGTTTATCCGCCGACGGAAGCGTGCTTGATGCGGCGTGCCATTGACACCGATCGATCAAGGGAACCGGACAAGAAACAGCTTGACAGTCACCGACAGCTAGCGAGCTAACTATCTGTAACTCTCGAAGAAATCTGAACAGGACGAAGATGCGGCTGTACAAGCTCGAATACCACAGGGAGAAATCGAGACATGTTGGAGCAATTAAATTACGGTTTCGTGGGAGAGGAACGGTCGTTCCGGCCCCATTTGCGAAATTACGAGAGAACACTCGTACGTGCGATCGCTCGGAGAGTAAAAGGTGACGCGGCACAATGGCGGCCCCGTCGATCTTTCTCCCCTGACTTTTCTTCCCGCCTTTGGTTCCCCTTTACATTGTCTGATGTTCCGTTCCTCTTTCTCTCCTCTATCCTCGTTCTCGTCCACGCGCACGCCTTTGTCCGCGCGGAAAACTGCCCGCCGCGGCGGAACTCCAAAAAAAGTAAAAAAAAAAAAAAAAAAAAAGACGAAGAACCGGACGTGCCTACGTTTATCATTCGCCTTGGAAAAAGTTTGAACACAGAAGTGGTTATTCCGTGTCCACGTGTTATTGTGTCGGGAGACGATGATTGGTTCCGATTTCTATTTCCGTTCGACTCTATCGTTAACCCTCCACGTCGAGCGTTCGCGCCACACGCTTCGAGACTTTACTATCGATCTTTCGCGCGTTCGGTTCTTTCTTTCTTTCATTTTTTTCCCCCATTTTAGCCGCGCACGTCCCCCCACATTTTCCGTCGCGGCTCTTTCGATCGTGATTCCGCGATTCCGTTGCGAAGGATGCGAGGGAAACGAAGGATGGGATTGTGGACCGGGTCAATAACCACTCCTTGTCAAATTTTTCAGTAAAGTAATTTTATTTTCTCAAACTCTCCACCTTTCCTTCCTCACCGCTTCGATATACACACAGGACTCTTTTTCCGTACGTCTTTCTCTCTCGTAACTTTCTCGCTCTCTCTCTCTCTCTCTCTCTCTCTCTCTCTCTCACTCTGCAATCCTACACGCGTTTTCCTCTAACCCGTCCGGAATATATTTACAAGACACAAGGTCACCGTACCGTCGTCGGTAAGGGACACAGTAACGACAATAAATAATAATAATAATTAATCTGCGCGTCGATAATAATAATAATAAATGCTCGTGATAATCATTTCACGAGCGTCTATACAAATCAGAAACTCAAATCCGGTGATGTACCGTTCATTCGGGTGCACAGCTACTCTCTGACTTCGTTTAATACTTTTATATTAATATAGATGTACGATTCTCTCACTCGTTCTCTCTTCATCTCTCTCTTTCCTTGTTCCTCGTCTCACTCCGTGTGTCTGTGTATGTGTGTGTGTGTGTGTGTGTGTGTGTGTGTGTGTGTGTGTGTGTGTGTGTGTGTGTGTGTGTGTGTGTGTGTGATTTACAATGTTTACCGATCTAATCTATTTACAACCATGGAGTGCGGTCTAATTGTCGCCGTGCTCACACAACCGACGGTAATAAGGCCCCTCTGCCATTCTTCGCTCTCCATCCCACCCCGTATTTCTTCAACCCCATACTACTCTATTCTTCGTCACCCATTTCCCTCCATAATTCGTTCGTGAACGCGAGATTGTGCAAGCACGGCCGTGTAACAAAATAAATACTGACTAGTCCGCGCTAGTGTCTTTGCCTCGTCACCCGGATCACGCGAGCAAGAGGAACGGAAACTGAAGTAAGGCCTGGCCTCGTTCGGAACCCAAACGGTGAAACAAAACGAACTGCCGAGAGACCCAGTGTATCTCTCTTTCTCGCCCCCCTTCCCTCCCCGTGGAATGAAAATTAATAAAGCAGCGGAGACGCGTGAACAAAACTCGTACGATTCTCGAACCTCTGGAGACGATTCTTCGACCGCGAGAAGGAACATCAAAGACGACACCGCGCCTCCGTCTGCCTGTTGACTAACCCCGGAAAGACACTAGACTACCTACGACCTGACGACGGAACGTAGAGCTTAACGACGACGACGAGTTTACATCAGAAACGCGAGGGCCACGCGCGTCGACTGTGGGGTAGGGGTTAGGGGTGGTTGCTCGAACGACAGTCGAACGGATCGTGGCCGACGATATCACGGGATATGTGTACCGTCTCCTGTGCTCCAGCTGGTCTCAAGGTCGCGTCGATACACCTGCAACCAGCCGGGGTACAGCCATCCGAGACAGGTCGGTCTCTATAAGAATATATCGCTCGCGAGCGACATGTGTCACGTGCCCTGCACGTTCAGATACACATCCTCGGGTTTGCTGAGAAGGCTGTGTATCTGCTGCATCGTGCAAAGCGGACACACCTCTTCCTCGGTACCCTCGGCCACGATCCTCCTCGCAGTGCCCGGCGCTTTCCTGAACCCAGAGTCCAAGATGTACGAGTAACCGTCCGCGTCGACCGAGTTCGATCTCACCGTGGACGAACGGAACAACCTCAACGAGGTTATCCGAGTGGTCCCCGTGTCTGGTCGACGCGTTCGGTTAGTATCGTACCTCGTGGACTCCAATTCCGTGTCCTTGAAGTCTATATACGAGTATCCCTCGGAATCGACCGAGGGCCTTCTGCTGTTCGAGAGTTCGTCCCGCGACAGGAGTCCCGCGATCGGTTGCTGGAGCTGACCGGAGGTGAAATTCAGGGAACTCTGAGATTTCTCCGACAGGGGTTGGACTCTCGGACGATGAGTCGGGGTGATCGGAAGCCGTGAATCGATCGGTCGACCGGTAACGCAGCTGTCACCCAGATACTTCTCGCTGTTTAGCGTGATCTCTGCGTCCGGACAGATCGTTACGCAAGGAACCACGGTGCACGGGGTCGGGGACAATGGTTGCGGACTCGTGATCAACGCGTTCTGACTGGCCAGCAGCAAGTGACTGTTCCGCAGCACGTTGCCGCCGTTCTGCAACAACGGACTCGTGACCGCGTTGCATCCGGGCGGCGTGTGGGTCGCTATCGAGAGCGGTACACCCTGGGACTTGGCGAGCAGGGCACGGGGCGTTCGATAACCGCCCAGAACAGCCCTGGAGGGCTTGTCCTGGACCCGCAGTATCGCCCTCGGATCCCGGTAGTCGAGATAGTCGAGATGATGCGGCACGGGTGGTCGCGCACGTGGCAACTGCTGCGGCTGTCGTTCCCGTAGGCTGTGTCGCTGATCGGGATTTCGTACCTCGATCGTCGGCGCCTGGCCGGGATGATGCGGTGGTAGATGATTGTGCAGCTGAGAGTGCGACACCGCGTCCGGGAGATCCTCGTAGAGAACCGCGCCACCGCCTACGCCCGCGCTACCGGTCCCCGTGTGCGATTGTCCGTCGGCTAACACCCGACTACGGCCACTGGCCGCAGCGGCGGCCGCCGCTGCCGCGGATCCTGCTGCGCTCTTGCACGGTAACAGGTTCTGCACTTTCCGTTTGTGTCTGGAACAGGAAACGAAACAACGCCGGTTAAAACAATCTGAAGGTATAGTTGGGAGTTGACGAGTAGTCGTCCAATCAAAAGAGAGCGAACGAGACCCACAAGATTAAATGAGACATACTTCGTTATCACTGGTTAGTAGGCATTGGTGGTTAGTAGGTATTGGTGGTTAATGGTGGTTAGTAGATAGTGGTGATTAGTGGTGGTTACTCGTAGTGATAACTAGTGACAACAAAGTAAAAACTAGTGAGAACGCATATCCGCGTTACGTATACGTATATTGATATTCTACTTTGCATCGCGCATCGACTTTCAGCCCACCCCTATCCTCTTTTTCTCTCTTTCTTTCTCTCTCTCTCTCTCTCTCTCTCTCTCTCTCTCTCTCTCTCTCTGTCTAGTATTCGTTTCCTACTCTTTCTCTCAACGGTTGGCTGCCGCTCGTCGGCACATCAGATTAGTTGGGAGCTCGTTGCAATTGTTTGTTCAGACAGGCTTTGCCCGTAGCTGCACCCCCGAGAGCTTTTCTCAATGTAAACTTTAACGAGTCGCGAGACCTCGCCTTTGCCTATAGTTTCGGGTGCCGGTTCGACCGCGCGTATTTATTCGCAGCTTCCTCCGTGACGATCGTGCGAATCTCTAGTGAAAATTCTAGAGAATGAGAACGAGTGCCTGGAGTTTAGCGTGTCGTGTCCAACAGACTGAAATCTGTAGCCTGTGCGATCCCGATTTTTCTCGACGAAAGGTCGCTTATGGCCTTTGGGCGACCACGAGGAAACACGGCGATAATAAAATGTCCCCGGTGAATGATAAAGAACCCTTCAGCGGCGCAATAATTCACCTTGGAGCTTCGGGCGGGGCGGGGGGATAAGAGGGGGAAGACGAACGAATTTTCCGAGTCAGTAAAAAGACAAGACGGAGGAATTTCTCGTTAAGGACATCTCTATTGCAGTGGGAACAGGTAGATCCTGGTTTCATCCACGTCTCCGCGCGGAAAGTTTCTCGGGCGGAAGGTAGAACGTGGAAGAATCACGATTTGCGGTACGCCGTCAATCTCGCCTTCCATCTTTCCAGGTGTACACCCCGTAACACGAATAGAGATCGGTGGGCGAAAAGGGGGGTGGAGGGCGAACCACCAACGCGCGCCCCCGCGTTCCTTCCCGTCGGTACGCCGCTCGGGCAAAGTAGTTTACCCTTCAAGTTTTAATTATCTAATTAACTCCGTCAGTTCGATAATATTTGCCTGTGTAATTAAACCGTCAACTAAGGTTAACAACTTGCGGCTCACTTCCAATAGTAGGTCGTGCCACGGTGATGAGCTCGGGGGAACGCGTACCCATACCCGATAACCGTGTCTATTATGGGAACGGGGGATCGGTGGGATCCTGCGTGTGCATAACAACCGAACTGATTGCTGGTAACAACGACTTTGCAAGACGTTCGAATAACTCAGAGACAGCGGTGCTACAGAATTTTGCGGTCTATCGAAGACGACGCTGTGCACTCGCCTTCGTGTACAGTTAAATGTTCAAGATAGAGGAGAACGAGATTAGTTCGAGAGGTGGCCGGGTCCTGAAAGATTATCCCGAGAGCGGCCAGTTATGTACGTAGTAAAAAAGGAGGCAGAGATGGTTGAAACGTGGAAGACAAGCTCCGGTTCCAGGGAACTCGTCGGCGACCCGTGTTGGCCCCCCCGTCGACTGTTCCTCGCGGAGCGTTCGTGGCTGGTCGTTCCAGGGTTTCACGCTTCGCGGTCGTCCGAGAGGTGAAACACCATCGCGGGCAGATTCACGCGAAGCCCGTGAGCCCGGACATATAGAGGCGAACGTGAACTAGCCGCCCGTCCGTCTCTTCTACCGGCAAGATTTCAATTTGCCTAATGCCGTCGACTGTCAGCCACGACGCGACCACACTTAGCGGTGCTCTTAGCGCGCACCAGCGCGCCAACACGGTTCGTGAGTTCTCTCTTCTGGCTGCGCAATGCGCATGCTTCTATGGCTGTCGGATTCACTATCCGGCGCCCAGAGAGCAGCGTACCGGATGCACGTGGTAAGTTGGTTCTCAATCGAACTTCTTCCTTCCCTCTGCTCCCTAACTCTAGTTCGAATCGACTAGGATTCGGGATTTTCCTTTGATTTATCGGGGATACAAAAATATATATATATATATATATATATATATATATATATACACGCATATACGGTTTCTTTGTTTTTTTCATCCCTTGCGTGGTTTCATTTCGAATAAATCTTCAGGATTTATGGTGTCTCTTCCGGTGACATGCGAGAACGACAGGATCGTTCGAACAATTGTCAACAATATCGCGTGCGGTCGCAACGTTACGGCACTTCAAAGAAACGCATAAACCCACCCCTCCCTTCCTCCCTTGTTCGACGAATCATACAGTGGCCCCGTACCGAATAGTCGTAAAGCGCATATTGCATGAGAAACACTGCGAAGGCTGAATGCACCTGGAACAGGCCAGTCGTGTTCGTGATCGCGCACCCGTGCTAAACATGGTATCACGAGCTTGCGGTCGTATAACGGACCATAAAGCGCTTTGTGGACTGGGCGTCCCTTCGAGCACACCGGCACACGCGTTCGACGAAGGGCTTCCCTTAACCCCTTGCCGTGCCCGTTTGTGTTTTTTTTTCTTCTTTTTTCACGGTCCCTGTCGGGGGAGGCTACCAAGAATGAGAAACAGAGATAGCGAGTTGTTGTCCGTTTCGAGCCGATAAGTCAATAAGTCCGTCGGAGGATTAGCGAAACACAGACGTGCGCCCCTATCGCGATGTCCACCGCGTCTCTTCAAAACTATTCGATCGTTTCCGGTCTGGCGAACTCGGGAGGATTCCTTCGGCGTTGGATTAGCTCCAGATTTCCCCACGATCGTGTTCGAGGAGAGGGGGAACCCGCACGCAATCCACGGCGTTCGTGTTATGGTATGCGATCCGCCACGCTGATGGAAATTTCACGATGGCGCAGCAGCAATTAGTAGTCGGGATTCAATATCCAGGACGGTGGCCGGGGCTATACAAGACGGGCCAAGTTCCAGACCGGTTCCCCCCCATTGAGGATGGCATCGAGAACCCACGGCGGGATTGCTTCTGATGGATTTCGACCAGCCGTTGCCCGCCGCGTAACAGCCACCGCGGAAACAGATGGAAACTTCCGGGCCCGCTTCTAATCAAACCCATTCCCAACCACCTAGACAGCCTCTCACACCCTGGGCTTTGCTTTTGTGCTCCCTCCTATCTCCACACTCTCCCATAGATATCGTAATGATTTTTCATTAAGGTCGACGTCTGCCTCTCCCTCTCTCTGTCCCCCATTTCCGAGCACCTCCGGCAGAACCTCTCGCGGCCAGACGTTCCATCGGCCATCTCCTAATGGATTTCATTTAGCCATGACGCGAACCTCTTCGGAAACAAGGAACTCCTCTCCGAGAAGCGTCACCGAGGACGGGGGAAAGGAGGGGAAAAAGTCAAAGTCGAAAGAAGACGCGTACGTGTCCGAAGCATAGATCTGCCCGGGGAGCATAAAGGAGTACCCCCACGCGTTGCGTAAAGAGGACGACGTTGAGGACAACCTGAACCGTGCGACGTTCACCCTCCTCGAGCGCCGTTCCTTCGGAAAGTTACAGCCGAGGCGAGGCGAATGTCGCTAAGCGTTGAATAGGTCATTTAAGCGGAGCTTTTAACTCGTGCTAATTAACTGCCTTTTCTGTTTCTATCTGGCCCCGGCGTGTGCAGCTACCGAGAAGTCTTTTGCACCTCCGTTCCACTCGCTTTCGCGGCTCGACTGCTGCGTGCGCGCGAACGTCACACAGTAGGCTCCATCGCGGTGCCAGTCCCCTGGAGGCATCCCCATGAATCGTTTTAAATGAGTAACAGACACCTCGAAAGAGGGGTCTTGTTCATGATTACGCTACGACTTATTTTGTATGGTACAGTAAATCCTCGATGAGTGTTCGAAGGCTTCTCGACACTGAGTGTTCAGACGTCATCCCCACCACTGGGCGCTTGACTGGTTCCATGAGGGACCCTTTAGTGGTAGGGATAACGGATGAACGCTCAACGCCGAGGAGCCTTCGAACACTCATGACTTACTGTACATGTATACAGTAAAATATCGATTAGTTGTCCGAAAATTGGGAACGAAGTCGAGCGCTTACGAAATAGAGGAATCGATTCTACATATAGAAAAATAAAGAGGACAACGAGTGAAAAAGGAAAGAGGAGGAGGAGTTGCCAGCCCTAAACGAATTTTTACTGTACCAATGCATCCAGTATAAACGGGGGGGGGGGGGGGGGAGTGGCTGCGTTGATGATCGAAGAGCTCCGCGGCTCGTGACGATTAATCGTACCCTCGACAACGGTGACCTACATCGCTCGACCGAAATGCCAGCGGAATGTTTAGAGTTGTATTAACGGGGTACTTCCACCCCCTCGACTCGATGGAACGCCCGAGAACCATCACGTACGCAGAACCCGACACCGGAAGCACGAACCGGTTAAACCCGCCTCCGTACCCGGGATATACTCTCGCGTTCGCCGACAAGCGCATCGGATTTTCAAGTTTACTTGCCGCCCGGAGTTTCTCGTAAGCTTCTCGAAACTACAAATTTTGCATATCAATGCGCGTGGGTACACCCAGCCTGTCGACTCGATAAACGACTTTCCACCCTTGGTCCCCCCATCCCCCTGCGCCCCCTCCTCCACCGCCAAGCCCCCTTCACCTCCCGTAACCCGTGGGATTGCACTATTCTATCACTCCCCTCCCGGTCGGTAATATCGTCTCGTTTCCACCCTTGTATTTGCGGATATACAGCTATTCACGTCTCTTCACGAGGCGGGAAGGGATCGCGTATTTGTTTGAATTGGACCGGGCAGGAAAGGATATCATTTCCTCGGTGGAAAATCGAGTCGAGGAGTTCGGTATTCGAATGTTTAAGGGATGCAATTCCAATTGTACGGAAATGGTCTCGAAATCCACAGTTCTCCAA